GAGAGAGAGAGAGAGAGAGAGAGAGAGAGAGAGAGAGAGAGAGAGAGAGAGAGAGTGTGTACAGACACGAGTCCGAGACGCTCGTGTCGTCCCTTAATTTGTATCGTGCAGCGCGGAAAACTTTCGGAAAACCTTGTGCCGAAAACACTTCTCGCCGATTGACATAACGGACTCTTCCTGTCCTACGCGGAATGCGTAGTCACTTATGGCTGCGCCATAAATGACTGTCCGTGTCATTAGTATTCCAGCGAAGGACGGTCTTGCGGTGCGTTTATGGGATCGCCGAGGACCGTGACGGCAAGGACGAAAGCACTATGCATCGTTATGATTCTGAAAGGAAGGAAATTTTGAAGCAAGGAACCGTGGGAATGCATTTGGAAACAAGAAAATAAATGGTTACGTTTGTTTAAAGCACCAAAGCTTCATAAGTGAAGAATTCTTGTATCAGCATCCTCCACGTGCCAAGATTAACAGTGAAGTTGAGAAAGCTTCTTAGGATACTGCAAATTTAGAAAAAAATGATTTCTAGTTTTGATTTTCTCATTTTACATATTTCTTTATTTCATTAGTTAAATTAAAATTTTTTCTTTCTCAGTAAAGAAGCTTTATCTGAAGATTAGGTATTATAAGATACTTATGAAAATATGTGAAAAACAAGCGCATCTACTTGTGAAAGAATGTACATAAAAAACAATGTGTACTTACAAAAATATTACTGAAAATTATATACAAGTTTACATATTATGTACGAAATAAGAAAATAAATTTCAATTTAATGTAAACATAGGTCAAAGAAGAATCAAACAAGAATTAAAGAAAAATTTCGTTATACCTGTTATTCGCGCTCCACAATGTATCTACGGGATTGGTATGCATAAAGGTAAAATTTTGTTCACGCTACCGTGACAACAGGTAAGATTTGAGAAAAGGTCGCTGGAACTTTGAATGTTGATATAACACGAAAACGAAGGGAAAATCCTCTTGGCTATTTCCCCTGCACTTTGCACTATTCCCCCTATTTTTTCTCTTTCATTCTTCCAAGTCCGGGTACTTGCTTCGTTGGATCTCCCGTCTCACGCACTTCTTACCTGCACTTTCTGCACCTGTTTGTTTGTTTCCCCGCGTGAAATGTGAGCACACACTGTCGAAGCACGGACAAACACGTACTACGGATAGTGCAAGGAAGTTGACCAAAAAGACCAGGATGTCGATCTTCCTTTCTGAGCAAAACAACCATTTTCACACGGCTGCCGCGCAATCGCGATTAGCTATATTCTCCCACAACTGCGGAAATTCGACTCGCGCGAGGATTTCAAACGACGGCAAGCAAAAATACCCGAAAATGTGCGCTGGTATGTACGCGCGATTGATCCGCCGAGCCGAGATCACTTCGGCGACGCACACACATGCCAGGTGCGTGCTCGTCCACTCTTGCTTACCCTTTTTTTCGGTCTGGCCGCGCGACCAAGCCGACAACGCCGAGAAAGTCGTCCTGTTGCACGCGATTATCTTGTTCGCAGGCGATATGTCGTTTTCGCTCTCGCTCCGGCGAGGAGGATCCCAGCGAGGTGCCGGCGGCGGCGGCGGCGGCGGCGGCGGCGGCGGCGGCGGTGGTCCGCTGAGCCGTGTCCTTTGTGGTCCGCGTTACGGGCCCCGCTTTTCTTTCTCCCTCTTTTTCTCGCTTCTTTTCACTTCTCGTCTCGTCGCTTCATGTTCGCTCACGTTTCGTTAAATGCACTGCGGTACGACGCGACGCGACGCGACGCGATCCGTTGCGAACGAATGACTCGCGTGTTGTACATACAGTTGTACGTAGGGACAGCGACGGTGACGATACTAGATGACGACTCGCCTGGCGTTCACCGGGGCACTGGAATGCAGACCGACAGGTTTTGAACTGCGGCCGACCGCGGCTTACGGAGGGATGCGGCGGCGCAGCAGCGACTACGATGCGAGTACGATAGCAGAGATGGTGGCGGGCGAAAGATTCAAGATCCCTTCGTGTTCCAAAGCCGCATCTTCGTCGACGCTAGATGGCTCCACTCACTCGTGAACAGCGTTTTGACTCGCTCCGCTCGTCGACGTCAGATGGCCCCGCCAGTTGTCGCGCGGACAGATTAAAATTGATATTTACATAATTTCAATCTCTAGCTGACAATAATTGTATGAGCTCGCTTCTATGTATGTAATCTTTATATATTATAAAAGAAAACGTATATCAAATTTATGCATCGAAGATCATGTCAACTCATGTCATCATGTCATTCTCCAATTATCTCTGATAAACATGAGCATTTTATGCATCAAGTTTACTCATAGCTGCGAACGGAGCTCTTAATGATAGCTCATTGATGGGATCTTGATTAAAATGTAAATACAAATGAAGTGCTTATCATCGTGTTATGAGTGATGAGGGTCCAGTGATATTGTTTGTCGAGTACTTACGATTACTATTGCGAACATCACAGAGTAGCTTCCATGACAATATATTCAAAAATCATTTACCTACAATCGCTATCAGTAGCTGTTAGTTCCGAAAATCGCAACATCGAGTCGTGATGTCCAACATGGAAGCATTTGACAGCAGTCCATGGCAATCCACGGTTCTACGAGGTTCACCTACGATTCCATGAACTCGTTTGTACTGTAACCAGCTGTAACTATCCTCGTAACGTGCGTGTCGTATTTTATCGTGACGGGATTGTGGTAGTGGCATAATTTCCAAGTTGTTCAACAATAAAAGCTTTGGAGCGGACAGGATATCCTCTTCAACGAGCGACAATTGCTGTGTTTTATCAATTGCCTCAGATTAAATTTGCAAAGATGTTGATTTCTTAGATAGCTTAAATTGTGCATTGTTCCCGACTGTTGTTGCAGTTCGAATAAGTATAGTCCGATGTACGGTTAAATATGCAAGTTTCGCTGTATTAACGTTGCTGTTATTCGTATTAGCTGGAAAATTGTGTCTGTGACCCACACAATAATAGTGTCTTTGAATAAAGTTTGAAGTTTTATTATGATTGCCATTAGAAGGACTCTCTGATACAATTGGTTTTGTAATTATGTCATATTTGTTCTTAGATGTCACAATGGGGTTGCAATTGATTCACTGGCATCTAGCTGATTGAATAAAAATGTCAGAGTCTAAAGACAGTCAGGTAGAAAAGTGCGACATTGTCCTTCCAAGACAAGGTCTATTGTATCAGGAGGATACATTAAATTATATACTCTGCAAACCAAAATTGATCCCATTGAAATCGGTGACCTTGGAGAAATTGGAGAAAATGCAGAGAGAAGCTGAGATTAAAGTCAGAGAAACACAAGAAACAGAAACCAGCTCTGACATAAATGCATAAATGTTTATGTGTAGTTATTGATAATAGTTTGAAAATTGTAAGATGCACTAAATATCACGGTATTAAGATAAAAGACAAGATGGTTCTCGGTGCATTCTTGACAGAGATCATAGTGGCATTCCTGTTGGCTGGAACTTTACTTTTCAAATATGGAAATGTGTTTCGGCACCACATCATAGTTACTGTCTCTGTATTGATAGCTTGGTATTTTTCCCTATTAATAATCTTTATATTACCTTTGGACGTCTCTTCGGTAATTATTCATTTATATTGTATTTATTATATCAAAACTATCTTAAAGTGTATTATGGTAGTCTTTCTGTGAAATACAAAATATAAATGTAATAGACTAGAATAATGTTTAATTCTTTACAGACTGTATTCAGGCAGTGTGTAGAGCAGAATATACATAATAATACTAAAAACTCTGGTAACACAACGTCTGTACCATTTGCTACTTGTAAAGAACCTTGGCCAAATGTACCAGAGAGTATATTCCCAAATTTGTGGAGGATAGTTTATTGGACATCGCAATGCCTGACATGGTTGATACTACCATTGATGCAATCTTACATAAAAGCAGGGGACTTCACTGTACGTGGAAAATTGAAGTCTGCTTTAATAGACAATGCTATATATTATGGCAGTTATTTGTTCATATGTGGCATACTTTTGATATATATTGCATTGAAGCCTGGCTTAGATTTTGATGGGTAAGTTGCATCAAATTATAATGAGAATTGAGAGAACAAGATTTATTATAGCATAGAGATATAAGATTTATATAAAATGTTAGTAAATATTAGCTTAAAAATTATGTTTATTGTTTTATAGACAAAAATTGAAAGTCATAGCATCATCTGCATCCAATACATGGGGCTTATTCTTGTTAGTCTTATTGCTTGGGTATGCACTTGTTGAAGTACCTCGAGGATTATGGAACGCAAGCAAGCCCGGATACACTTTGAATTACAGTTATTTTAAGATTGCAAAACTAAGTTTGGATAAGTGCGAAGCTGAGGAGACAGTAGACGACATACTCGAGGTACGAGATAATGCTCTTTATAGCATAATGTTTGCGAGAATTTGACAAGTTATTTAATAGATTAAATGCCATTTAGTCTTTACAAATTGCAACGATATCCATTGGACCTGGTCATCCATTCCATTGCAATTTGGAAACAATTTTTCAAAAGATACCTGCTGAGTTGAAGGATAGGATGAACAGAAGACAACTGCCTGATGATACTCCAACGGACACACCCACTGAGAAGTCTTTAATTCGATTACACAGACAAGTTTGTGAAAAACGAATATACATCAAATATCATGACACATTTTTACTTATTGTACTTATTGTACTTATTATTTTTGTCACAGACTATCAAAGCATTGCAAACTTTACAACGCATAGAGACCCAATGGGGTATTTTAGTAGATAAGATCTTTGATTTGGAAGATGTAGCAAAAAATCAAGTGAGTCACGATAGAAGATTCAAGCAAGCATTTTCCACGCACCGTTCACTTCCATTTCGTATTATTTATAATCCTGCTGTTGGTGAGTAATTAAATTATGTGTGTGTGTGTGTGCGCGCGCGCGCGCGTATGTAATTTTTCTTGGCACATTTTATTTCTCACTGTTAATATTACAATAATCCATTCAATAATTTAATAAAATTTGTACAGTTTACACAATTCTATGATGTTGTGATTTAAATTTCAGAATGGTATTGGAAATGTGTTGTAAAAGATTATGTCTTGAAGATAGCTGCCATTTGCGCTGGATGTCTGTCAGTGGCTGTTGTATGGTCAGAAGTAACATTTTTTAACAAGTCACCTGTACTGTCATTATTTGCTCAATTTCTGAACTTAGCGAAAAGAAACTACGATTATTTTACAATAGAGGTAAAGGATCTCGTATCATAATACTCTCGTATTTTATGTATTAATGTTTACCATGTATATATTTTGTTTTTAGGTGCTATCCATGTCGATCATTGCATACCTTTGCTATTGCGCTTATTCGACTGTCTTAAAAATTCGTGTGTTGAACTTGTATTATTTGGCACCTCATCATCAAACTAACGAATATAGCTTAATATTCAGCGGTATGATGTTATGTCGCTTAACTCCGCCAATGTGTCTCAACTTTCTGGGACTGATACACATGGATTCACATATTATTAAAACTCATATCCTGGAAACACATTACACGCAGGTAACGTTACTTAAGAGTGTAATTTCTTTTGCGCCTGCTTCTTTTTATTTATTATTTTCTTCTTTTCTGCAGGTGATGGGTCACATGGATGTTATTTCCATCATTTCTGATGGATTTAATGTGTATTTTCCTATGGCAATTCTGGCGTTTTGTCTGGCAACTTACTTTAGTATAGGCAGCAGATTGCTTTCCATGCTAGGCTTTCAGCAATTTCTCGACGACGATGAATTTACGACAGATCTTGTGGAAGAAGGAAGAGAACTTATAAAAAGAGGTATGAGTAAATTTTGAATAAATTGGCTTGTTGATATTGAATATATTGAATAAAAAGAAAGAAAAATTATACGAATAAGTAAATAATTATTAATGTCATGCTAATTAAATAATAATTTGATAACTGATTAGATCAATATTATTATTACAGAAAGACGTAAACGTCAAAGAGCAGAGGATTCTATGTATAGGCGACGCGAAATGCAGGAAAGATTCAATATCTCAGTAGGTACATCACGTTACAGGATGTCTCGTCAAAGTACAGACACCGGTACGTGCAATGAAAAATGAATAGTACTGTAATATAGGCTTTACATTCGCATACGTAACACTGATATTTGTAATTCTTTTAGTACGGCCGTTGAAACGTGACGAATCGATAGAGTCTGCAAGGGCAGGTTTGTTACACGATTTCGATCCTACGGAATATTACATCGGTATGACATTCGGTGGAGATGGTTACGGTGCAAACAATCGCTATGATGGGGAAAATCAAGGTGATGATTCGTACGATCCGCATGCGATTAATGCAAGAGCGTTTTCTACGAGCACAAGTCGTGTAGGTCCTCCACCTAGAGGATTGTTCGACGACATTTAAGCAACACGATTAAAACGCGACTTATTGCGAATATAAAATTGATTTTAGAAATTTGCACGACATTATATCGAGCGATGCGATGATCATTAATGAACCAAGTCATAAAAATTATAAATTAGAAAAGGTAGAACAATTTTTTTAACTTAATTAAGGCTTTGCCATCTCGCTGCAGAAAGTCTGAGTTGACGGTAGCACCTAGCAATATAGAGAACACGAATCGTGTCAGCGTAGCTGATTGGCTAACACTAAGTCAGGGTCATGCTAGGCCTTGCTTGACACTTCGGAAAATTAGTTGCGTTTTATCGCGTTATTTTGCAGTTTCTCCGTGAAGTGTGTATATTGTCGTGATCCTCACAACCGTAAAATATATAGCAAACTCAGTGATACTGGTGATACATTGTGAAAATCGAGAAATTAAGTGTGTGCACAGACTGGTATCTCAGCTATCAAACTACCGTGCAGCCGAAAAATGCATTATTTCAGGAATTATTTTACTACGTGATGTATCAGTCAGATATCAAAGTTTGTTGTACTTTTTACAGGTTTTAGGATTAAGAAAATATTTAGTTCTTCAGGGAAAGTGAAAAATAAAGCAATAAAATGCAAGGGATTATCGGTATGTCATTTCTTGTTTCTGACGTCATCAAACCAATATGGCCGCCCCAGAAATAGGTCGGGTTTTTTAATTCATCGATGGATCTATCGATGAATTAAAAAACTCGCCCATAGCAGAGCCTTAAGGCCCATATTCTCAATCCTATTTTATCTCTAAAAGTACATCTAAAAGAAGCTTAGGAGCCACCTGATTGGCTGAGAAGCTATATTCAAGGCACTTTTATCGATAAAAGAGGGTTCAGAATATGGGCCTAAAGCTTTACATTTGCTATATCGGCTGTTATAATTTTAAATTGAAGTATTAGAAAAATACGAGAGCTAAAATATAAAATTATATTATTATAAGATATTGAGTGCTTCCGAAATACCTAGAGTTGGTTCGAGTTGAGTTAGTTCCATTATAGTATATGTAACGGGTACTATAGTGGAACTAACTCGACCCAACCCTGGACATTTCGGAAGCACCCATTTATAACTTATACATACGAGTGTGAGCACACTAAGGCTTTGGTCCACGATGTTAGAAATTAGCCCGAGATCTAGATCCGAGAACAAAGCAACCAATCCATTTACAGCTTTTACGGAAAGGCAACAATTTTATTGGTTACATGTTTCTCGGATCGAGATCTCGGGCCATGGACATAGTATACATGGACTCCGATGCCTTATGTTCTGTCGTTTAATAGAGTGAAGCTAACATCTAGAAAGAGAGCGAGAATAGAGGGGCTATAGTTTTCTTCCTATTTTGTCACTTTTTTTGTTGCGCGTGCATCCATTTCTCGTTTTCATAATATTATAGAGCGCAACAACACTTCGACTAGACTGGCAAGTAAACATTTTATTTAAATCTTATTGCACTTTGTTGTGCAGAAAGAGACAGAGAACAGAAGGGCTGTACATATTGGCTTCTCTTTCCTGACTGTATGCGAAGTCTATGTATATTATGTCTATGGTCTTTTTCTACATGTTGGTTTCACTTTTCTGGCCGTATGCGGGGTCCATGTATACTACGTTCATGTCTTGGGCCGATTTCTAGCATCGTGGACACAAGCCTTAGGCTAGTGGCACACAAAAAAACTTAAGCAGTAAAACGTAAACAGTAAGCAAATTGACTAATCACAGTCATTGATTCTTCTTACGGTCCAAGAATCAACGACTGTGATTGATCAATTTGCTTATTGCTTAAGTTTTTTTGTGTGCCACGGCCCTTAAGAATGAAAGTTCGCATAAATCGGTGAGGTGGGGAACGCCAATTTTTTTTAACAAAAAATGATTGATAAACGATTAAAACGGAGAATGCTATGAACGTCGAATTTAATACGAATATATATATATATATATATATAAAATTGGCGTTCCTCACCTCATCGATCACGCGACTTTCATTTTAGTGTGCTCACATTCGTGTGTGTGTGTGTATAGACACACACACACACATATATTTATTGCATTCATTAAGGGAGATATATTTTTAATGTTTTAATATTCTTCTCAGTTCTATTCTATGTCTTAGCTTATGTTAAGGTTAATAAATAGTTTATATATGATTTATTTTATTGATATGTACCTGAAAAAAATTATTTATTAATGCTTAGTTTTCTCATATGAGTTACATAGATATCTTTTTAATATCTGATCTGATTTATCGATCTCTTATATCAATCCAATTCTGGCAATTTCAACTTATGCTATATATTTTCACTATATAAAGTGATGTATGATTTTACTCGTTTCGTATGCTAGAAACTAGAACTCTTATGTGTCTTTCTAGTTTCGCTACTATAGTTTTACAAACAGTGAGTTTTGAAACAGAAGTTTAATAGAAATCGCATAAAAGGAACCTGCTGAATAATAATAGGAAAATTTAATACAAACAATTTAATATAGCTACATATAATAAACATTAATGTAATTGTAAATATATGCAATAATATAAGATCTGAAATATCGGCATTTATTACGAGGGCTTTTCGATACATATGGTAATAAAATTTTTCCTGCGAGTGAGAATTTTGTTACCTCTTCTTTATTATATATATGGTGTGTGTGTCTATACACACACACACACATATATATATTATATATTATATATATATATATATATATATATATATATATATCATACAACATGATAAAATATGAATAATAATATACTATAATATGCATCTTCAACTTTTGATTTATAAGATTTATCTCTAACTGAAAGAATTTAGAAAAATATTTCAATACTTCTTTATCTGTTTGTTCGAGACATGTGTTGAGTCATCCTAGATGTGTATGTAAACATTTATATCATCTGATTATCATTGAATAACTTGTTGACATTTGACACTGAACTTGTGTAGAATTCGATTTTGCAGGAAGAAATACACTTTAGTTATTTTTTATTAAATCATATAAATATATATCATATCAAGAAACATCTCATATAAATTGAACATCATTAAAATCATTAATTATTGCGAATGTAATTAATACACAACAGGAATTACTAAACATTAATAGATAACATGAATAATATAAATATTACTGATTTGACTTTTGCAAAGTTACATTTAGACATAGTTCTTGAATAACATCTCGCAAACTCGGTGAGATTAATTAAAACTTCGCTACACCACTCTCTAGAGATGTTAAGGTATCTACGACATATATTTATGATATTGAATTATAAGTAGTAGGAATTATATGTGAGCTTTACAACATCCGCGTAACACATAGAAATCATCACGCTTTAATTTGATTCTTGGGATTTAACAAATCGTTGACGAACGACAATTTTGACACAAGAATGGTTCGCTTATTGCGATGTAGATTTAATAATTAAGCTAGTTATAATTTGTATACTACAAAACATTCTTTGTCATTAATGAACCGTGTCGAAAGTATGCATGTGTCTAACGAGACATAAAGTCGCTGTGTACATGCGATATTGAACTGTTCTGCAAATCACCTTGTGAACATCTCGAGACAAATGTAATGTGAAATTAATGACAATAAATGTATTACGTAACAACGAGTTACAATATAATTAAACAATCTTTCAACAATCTCACATGATTTAACGGTATTCTACAATCCGGCAACTAAGTAAAATAAACTACATAAAAGGTAATGCTCGCAAGAACGAAAAACGACAATGTATAAGCGATTAATATTCTGATAATTTTTGTGCGTTTTGATCGTAAAACGGGTATTTTGCTCTTTTTGTCGTGTCTCGCCAATTCCGGCATTAGCAACAACGGTTCCAGCAACAATAAGGTCGACCTGTCCTGCCGACATCGTTCATCGTTATCATCATCCTTTAATTGATGCCTCCGATTATTCAGCGAATCATGCAAATCATCGTTGCAACTAATGCGTTCTGTGCAGTCTACCATAGTGTCACTACCATGGCGAAATGTCATGGGTGTGCAGCCAGCTCTTGATATTCTCACGTGATAATTATTTACGTAACGATGGTACAACTGGGTATTCACTACGATGTTGCGAGCGCGACTAATAACATAAATACTCGGCTTTAGTATCGCTTCTAGATCGAAGACGTCTCGGGGCCAGCAGTGAGAATAAAATATACCAGCGGCGTTGGTTTTCACGTAACTGTAGATCAGCATACGATCTTGATCACGATCTGCGTTGCACTGCGAGCAGAGAATCGGGCTGAGTTTTTCTCGACGGCTGCAGTACTTGAAACACGAGACGTCGTCGCGATGACACAAAACGACCTCTACGGCGAACAATGGTTTCCTCGCATATATCAAGCGATCGGTATATACTGGACTGTGCATTTCCGCACATTCCTTGCAGATTTTGTGTCGTGGGGAAAAAAGCGTATTTATCAAGGCCTTTGTTGCGGTGGGACTGTATCCCTCGTAATGATCCTGAACATAATATGAACCGGGCTCTTTAGTTGCTCGAACTTCTTCATACACGTGATCAGCGTTCGTTAAAGTACGAACGCTCGTAACTTTGTTTCCGGCATCATTGTTTGCTATTCTTGCGTATTGTCGATTGTAATTCCTCCGCTGATCTTTAGCGCATTTTACCTCACAGTCACGATCAATTTGTTCTGTCTTACGCATCGAACGAGCATGAATCTTCGCGTCTGATGAGTATTCCATCCAATCATCGGCGAAATAAGAAAGACTGTGTAGTGACTGACTGTGTGGACTACTGCCGAGATGTATGTCGTCGTTCTTTCTATCGATCGCGAAGGTCAACGCGTCTTCAGCGGCAATCGGAATATCGTTCTTCGTGAGCGCGAAATCAGCAGCTACATATTTTTCAGTTCGTATGTCCATTACATCTACGTGCGGAATATGGTATGCGTGTGTTTCCGTGTGCGGTGTCTCTATCACTTCGGTGGGAAGGCGTACATCACTCGCATTGTTCCTGGCTCTACGTCTTGCTTCTTCTAGTTTCAATTGTTCTAGGTGTGGCTGGCGGTGGTGAACACACGCAAAATTATATCAATTCGTAAGCTTCACGCGCTCCGAACGCAATTCCCGCCTGATCTTTTGCAGATCGTAGAGTACCTGTGAATCGTGACAATACTACGGATGTTACAATATTTCAGGTAGTAAGATTTATCCTATTTTCAAACTGATTTCTAAGACTGAATACACGGAGAAATTTACTTATTCGCTTTATAATACAGACCTCCATTATGGACGAGGCGCTCCACGCTTGGGTACGACAACTATCCTTGCAATAGCTGCCGTCCTTGTTGGTAAGCTCGGGGAGACCTCTCCAATGATTAGTGGAGGCTTCGACAAAGTGCCGTGAAATAATAGCTTCAGTCGATCCAACTATGCGACGTAACTCGTCTTCACCGCCGATTAATGACGCAAAGTGCAGACGCGCTCGCAGAAAATACCCTATTGGCCAAATCCATTCCTGAAAAGACATTCCAGTATCTATTGGAGTAGATGTGTCTAAGAATATAATACTTAAACAATAGACTTATATAAAACTTTATAACATTTTTTTGAAAAAAGTCCGACATATGATGTAGAGTACTTACAGGTCCCTGATGATAATTCCATCCATGCGCCACTTTCATGTCAGTACTGTCGTTGGAATTATCGTAATAACCATTGTAAGCCCAATCCGCAGGATCTAATGTTTTCATACCCAAAGGACCCAACAATATTCCTTCTGCTTTTTTCAACGCATTCCACGCACGTTGAGGATTAAACAGTTCTGGAGCCTTTTCGGATCGTTATAATATTGTTGCCATTTAGCATATAGAGATTTAATATATTATTTATGTTTATAATGTTCTACTTAAGTATTATATTGTTAAGTATTGTTGTACTGTTAAGTATTGTATTGTTAAGTATTGTTGTACTGTTAAGTATTGTATTACTAAACAACGAACTATTAATTATATCTACTCACAACGACCATAGCGATAGGGAAATTAGGCCGCAACTGATAATCCGCCCATTCTTGCGTTGCTCCATAGCTGTCCTTAATTATGCCTCGCCGGTGTATCAGATTAGGTTTTAATTCGTCCTTCGTTGGAATCTCATTGACGTAAAAGCACTTCTCGAAATTTGCGGAAATTCTATCTGCCCATTCCTTGTAACTCCAAGTTATTACTTTTCCTGTCAGTTACGATTGCAAATTTTGTCTTTAATGGAGCTACACTTATATCTAGCATATTCATGATACAAAATCTTACCGTCACGATTTTTACGTTGAACGCTACCGTACGGGAAAAGATTTTGCTTATATAATTCGGCCAGAAAACTGAGAATGCACTTGCTCAGTCCAACTATCTCCACGGCAGAACCGTCCCTGGGCGTGGCCGGTTTCCCCTTGTTACCGGCTTTTTCAGACGATCCCATCTTATCCATCCAAGTTCCACAATTGGCGTCATTGCCACCGAATATGAAGCCTGTCTCGGGATGAACACCAATCTGATTGTTAAATCCACGATCAGTCATATGCTCGTCAATTTGTCTCCCGGCATTTTTCTCTCTAAAGCAAAGACCTTGGAAATGTATCCTGAGAGCTTCTTGAATTACTTCATGTAACAGTTGATCCTAAAATCACATTTATGCAAACTGTGATGTTGCATGTAATGTGCATATATTCAATTGACCAAATTGTAATAGATATTTTACGGTAAAATGACATACCACTTGTCCTGCAGGTAAGGATGGTGAATCGTCGGTCGGGAACAATCTTGAGACCTTATCTGACAGAATTTTGATACCGTCCGGGACTTCTTCAACGTAACACTTTATGGTATAGAGCCACCACCATAGAGCATCACGGCAATTATATCTGTTATAAGATAAGATTGAAGATAAAGTTTTCAGAATTCTAATGTATTTTTTTAAATATATGTATAAAATATATATTCTCTCTAAAGATCTATTATACCTAGCATTGCTTCCTTTATCGAGTAAATTAGGTATCAGGCCATGTCGTAAGGTCCCAGCGTATCCAAGAATTATGAATCTCGCCTCTATATGTCTGCCAGTTAAAAGCAACATTCCTCTCAAAGCAATGAAGGTATCTCTACCCCAATTTCTCATGTAGCCCGTCGTGAAATGCGGTAAGCCTGCTGACAGCGTTAAACAGATTTGCTTATTTTGTCCATCATAAAATTCCGTTTTTGGTATCGGTAAATTCAGATTTGGTGATAAGTCCGGTAACAGTGATGATCTCACAACGCCGCACATCTGCACTGAGATTAGGCTCAGTAATTTAATAAATGTAGTCCCATTCTTCACGAAACTGAAATAATATTATATTATCAATAGTTGTGGATCAATAACAATGGGATATACAGCTAATAAATAAATATTTCAAGTTTTATGCACGATAAAAACGTTCAGTAAAAAATGTATAAATTATAATAATGTATAAATGTATAAATTTATTTATTTATTAACAAGTTAATTTAATTCTTAGTTTTAATGCTTACTTCGTCATCAAATTGTAGCAATGATCTATGAGGCCAATATAAACGTTCACGATTATAACATCGAAATAACTTGGCACTAAATATCTTGGGATTAATTTAAATGGTTCCATTGCTTGCTGAAGCCATATTCCAAGAGGTTTCGTGCCATTATCTTCTTTCAAACGTTGCCATATGTAGTCTGTCAAATTTTTCACATATGCACTCATTATTGCTATCTAAAATTATTTATCGCGTCTCGAAAATAGTCTGAAATATTACCTATCAACCAGTTGCCCTGTCTAAGATTATCGCATAAGGGATGTCCTAGATCATTATTTGGACGAATGTCTGCCAGTAAAGATATAATACCTGATTTGAAAAAATGAAACATTTGTTAAATATCGTGAGAGTGTAACTAAAAATTTTATGAAATATTTACATAAACTCTCTGATTTTCTATACCAAGTCAAATCTTATAACGTATCACCTTGCAATCCGGCGTATACCAATGGCCCATATCCTGGCACATTATATACTCCAAATCTATTCATTGTTTCGTCCCGCTCTTCTTGGTCACACCTGTATAGAGCTTTATTCAAATCTGCGAAATCCATACGAGATATAATATCATGTAAGTCTGACGCTTTATTTGATGTGATGCGCGAAATAATATTTTGAAGATCTGTTAGAGCGGGTTTTATATTCGCGTGTAGAGACACTCTAAAATAAAATTCCGTAAATAAATTATGCTGAATAGATATTGCAAGTCTCATCATATTGCAGAAATCAAAATCGTACGTACCGTATAGCTATAACAGAACCAGGCTGGAAGTTGACAAAATTGAGTTGAGTGATCTTAGGATCGCCGGAATCGACTTTCTCTATTATCGTAGAGTCACAGCACTGTATATGCTGTTTAAGAGTTAACGCATATTCTGACAATCCATTTATAAAGTGCGTATCCTTCATATATTTTTCAGGCAAATGGTAAGGCGTTCTACCGTTTCTGCAAAACGTTTACGCATGGCGTATTACGTTTAAAATACGTCTTTTCTTCGAAGATAAACAATATTTGCTACTTACTTAACATCAACGTGTGAAAGCGACGCTTCCAAAATTATTTCTTCCACTATTCCCTCTACTCTTAAAGGTCTTATGTGTCTCCTCAAATCCTGAGCATTGGCATCGGGATGCTTAAAAGCCGTAAACGCGACTAAAACTACACTCTCGTGAGTAGTCGGTGAGTGTCTCGTTACAGCTACTGTATCGGTGTCTATTTGATCGACAAATACCTATGGCAGATAAAAATCGATATTTTCAACATCTCCGTATGTTAACTATGAACAACTGACAACATACCTGTGAAAAGTTTTGCTTGCCAAGCGTGTAATGTAAATCGTTCAGTGCCTTCTTAGCTGCTATTATACCAGTCTTTGAACTAACGAACTTAACGTTGTCTACCAAATTGTCATTGTTGGTCCAGGAAGCATACTGTCTTTCTTCATCCACCACATGTATCTGAAAAAAAACGGAAGAAATTTAGCGAATTGGCAGAATTCTTGTGAAAATTGCGCGGGGACTTAATTACGTTAAAACATATTTTAATTACGTTCGCGTGAGCTTACATGATGAGGAACCAATTCATCGTAACCGCGATTACTACCGCTAGCACAGCACGCCATTGATACAAGTGCGGCACTTGGCAGTAAATCGAAAGTGCTTCGCTTCTCTATTGGACTAGGATTATCGTGAGTTACGTCCAAGAATAGGGCATGAGCGATGCTTGGTACTAACGGCCGTTTCTGTGACTGCAAAAACGCTCCCACTGGCTCACCTCCATACCGATAAACTAATCTGCCTTCTTCGTGGCTATCCCATGCAGACATAGCTTCTGCAATGTATATATAAACTTTGATGACTATATCTAATCATATAATACATTAATATATATGTATATATAAATACATGTTTTAAAAAATATGAAATTAATAGTATCTTGATATATAGAAAATATTCATATTTTTCTAAAACGTTATTTCTATAATTATTATAAAAAAAGAACACGCTCTCATATATTATAAAGTTTAATTTTTATATACATTATATTTATTCATTTATTTCGTACTTACCTCTGATCAAAGAAGTAATACCGAGACGATTTACAAAAATGTTGTCTTTCTGATCAGAGTTTGTAAATAATTCCGCGACAACGTAAAGATTTGGACGGATACGTCGTGCAGCGTCAAGCATATACTGAAAATAGAATTATATTATCTAGCAAATACATTAATGCAAATAAAAATTGTTCATAATGGCATACCTCAGCAACAGGAATCGGTGTGGAATGACAGTTGTCTAGTCGAATACCGTCAAATACTTGTGCTATTTGTTCCACATAAGTTGTCATATGTTGCCATAAGAAAGGACAATCCTCAGGTTTTTCTCCATATCTAACAATTACATTATTCACATAACACAAACTTCAAATTATAGCTATATTCTACAGCAATACTTTGCCAAGAAACTAAATAACATCCATTTTTACCTGAGCTTTACGCTATCTCCCCAAGCAATGAGTTCTCTTTGAATGTAAACATTAGAATCAGGATCAGCAAAATTCTTTAAAGGATCACCATTCATTACCCAACCATTATGAGCCATTAAATAACATCCATTATCCGAATACATTATATTTTCCCTTTCTGTCAATGATTTGGGTGCACCATAATCGGTGAAGTATCTAATGAATGTAAATTTTCATTATATTAAAAAAAAATATATTCAAAGTAATATATTTTTGCAAAATACGACTCTTCAAATTATGAATAAAACTACCTAGGAACAAGAGGATTCTTTTCGCTAATTTCCTTAAGCCTTGGACCATCAGATTGTACTCTAAAATATCTTATGCTAGCAATAGTATTTTCGACTGCAGCATTCAGATGGTTTTGCACATCGTTGATGATTACATCGTTAAGTTCTTGTAATTTATGTTTCAAATCCTCCGCACACCGTTTCAAACGGGTTTCCTCGTCAAAGCAATCAGCTCTATATAAGAAAATTATTAAAAAGTATCAATAAGAATGGAATAAAATATTCTAGAATTTTTTTTATTTTAACATGTGTATTTTACCTGTACGTGTTGTATCTTTCCAAGGCAAGTTGTATATTTATGGTTGATTTCAATTTACGGAAGCTGGGATCTTGAATCACCGAAATGTCTTTACTTTTTGAAACGGTTATATCTTGCGGCATTCCGTTGCGCGCCAAGTTCAAGAATTCCGCTATAATTTCGTGAATATCCACGATATACATTTCGTGTATTTTTACAAGTGGCAAGAAATACGTATGGACAGCGTGACGAATCGCCTAGAAGATTTGATATCGTAAGCGCAAGATGAACTAGGCAAATGTGAGAATCAAGCTGAATAAGAGGCAGATACGAGAGAATTGATTATATGGGTGTTTTATAACAATACAACAGAAAATAATCTGCAACTTACATTTAGATGATCCTCAGTTTCAATAACGTTAGGAATACCTTTAAGTTCCCAGTCTCCAGCAGCGACTTGTACCGATAATTCAAATAATGCTGCATCTAAAATATATGCTGGACGTAGATGAGGAGTATTAACGCAGTTATACGTACACTCTGGATGAGAAACCAGAAAAGGACTCTCGTTTGCTGTATGATTCAGGACAATATCACATATACTCAACATCTGTAACATATAAATAATAATTGAAAGATACATCTTGAGATACTAAGTACAGTTTCTCTTCTTGACGACCTTAACTTACCTTCCACTCAGTTCGCATCTTATTAACAAATCGTTCAATGTCATGATAAGTAATTATCTTGTTATTATCGTTAAAAGAAGGATTGAGTTTCATTTGATCACTCAGACTGTATGAAGATTTAGATTTTCCTAATTCCTAAAACATTAATGTGCACGTTAATATTTATGATAGACATGTAATCTCTGGTGTATTACATCAACACTGCGTTTATTGTACTAACATTACCTGAATTGGTGTAAAATGAAGTGCATTATATCCAGAATTTCGAGCTACCAGTAATTTGTCTTCCCATGTAGAAAAAGGTCCCAGACATTTTGCCAAGACTGTTTGAATTTGAATACAATCCAAAGGTAAGTCCTCTTCATTTTCACCTACTTTCAACTCAGGATCTATTAGCAGATATCCAGATGCAATAGGTTTTATTTGGGATGGACAATGTGCAGATACACCATCCTTAACTCTGTGAAACAAATGTGTTTTGTCACTAAAAAATAATTTCTTAAAAATAATTTCTTATGCAGTAGAAATATTTGTGATGTTTAATACATACTGATCAGTGACATAATAATGGTAGGAACCAGGTAAAGTTAAATGTATAGTCGCTGATTCATCAATCCATGGCAACTGGTAGTAAGTGTGCCTTTCAAATCTTTTTTCAGTCAATAATGGATAATTTATAAAAACATCAAGTGTCTGTCCAAGAAGAGAAGCTCCAAGTTTAAACTCAACTTTCCATCCTTTAAAAAATATAACAAATTACTTGAAAACCTATGAATAATAACAAAATATTTTGAAATACAGTCTAGAGAAACTATATAGCACAATTTTAGCGATAATAAGATCTCTTGAGAAACCTTTCTTCAATTTATATAATATTCCATCTAGATGTTCCCTGCTATTCACAGTTAGGACTCTTATTTGTTCAGAGTCGTGACTCGACATATTGTGCTCTGGCATATTTTCAGTTCTGTTCTGAAACTAAGAAATAATTATTATAAGAATAGTACATAATATACATGTATGTTACTTCTATTTTACTATTATAATCTTTAAAATTTCTTTAGATACAAGGAAAAATTTAAACAAAGCAAAATTATAAAATGTTTTGCATACTATTAAAATATATGTTAAATAGATAACATTAATTATGATTATTATATTTATGATTATTATATTTGATTAATGATACTTGCAGAGTAACTCTGCAGAGAAACTTACAGAGTAGATAAAGAATAATTTTTACCAAATATGAACAAAGTTTGCCAAGCAGAGAACTTGTCTTGCAAGGGAGTAATACTTACACCTCAAATGGATGTGTGCTCAACTGGCAGAATCCAAGCCTTAATATAAGTTATTGGCATAAAGCAGTTAGCAAGCGTGCATAATATTACATTACAGTGTTCTGCTATATGAACACACACAAAGAGAGAGACTGCAGTTCTATTCTTACCCTACATACTAATATTACAATCCCATAGTAATGTGACAACTGCTTCCTGCCATAAGACTTGATTGCACTAACTCTAATAATAAATTTGGTAACTACAGACGATTTTTGCTGCATATACCAAATAATTGTATTGCCCATATTTTTTCAACAAGAATATAGTTTGATTATGTTATATTCCCTATATATGTATTTATGTCAGAACTTACACAAGGCCAGTTTAATTTTAAACAACAGCGTTTGCACAAATATTGTATAAAGTTTCTAAATCCTCTTAAGAATGTATTTCCAATATTGCAAAAAAAGCACATAGCTGAATCCGTGTCAAAGCAAATAAGATGTACACTTAATCACAATTAGTTGCTTCATACAGAGAATTTATGAAATAAACGATATCTCATATCACTTATCCATATTTTATTATACATAAGCAAAGCCCTTTATAAGTATGTGCTACCTATAACAGATACATAAAAGCTATAAAATTATCAAGTATAAAATATTTCACATTGATAATATCTCTTGAAGATATCTAATACATATTTGTGTGTACATAAATAATTAAAAGTAAATTTATATAAATTACAGATTTAAATATTTATACAAATTATACTTTATATAACCATTAGTACATACTATTTTGTATGTGCTAATTTAATCAATAAAATAAAATAAAATAAAATATATCTTTAATGCTTATATTCACACATTATGTATTAACATAGAAAAATATACATTATAGTGATAAAAATTCATAACTTTTATTAATATATTTTAATATACATATACCCACATGAATACATAATAGCTTGTAAGAAATTAACATCATTAACATTATTATGCAATATATATATATATATATATATATATATATATATATATATATATATAATTTTTTTTTAAATAATACTTAACTTTATTTTTATATAACAAGCATGAAAATTAATACGTGATTAAGGAATTAGTAGCAATTGTGTTTTATAATATAGATAAAAAATAACAAATTCTTCAACTAAAAATGAACATATTAAAATATCAAGTTACAAAACAATATACATATTGTGTTATAATCATATAATACAAGATATCAAGTTATAAAACAATATACATTGTGTTATAATCACATAATACAAAAGAAGAACTAAAGCACATAATTATAAGAACAATTGTTAAGGTAAAATAAATTACCTTCCACATGCACATCAGGAACAAAACAAAATATATTGCGAGTAACACAAATATCCATATTGAGGGACAATTTAACAAACATTTTTACAACACTGAAGAAATCGAGTAAAATGTTAACTGTAATTAAAACTTGATTAACGCATAAACATACATTTTGAGGTAAAATTTGTGAAGTTATTAATTGACTGTCAACGAAAACTCTTCCTACCTATAAATATCGATTGTAAAGTAACAAATGACAGCACAACAGAGAGAAACGTTTGTTCTCATTCGTAAGATCGGAAGAACGAGCCACACAAGTTGACCTCTAATTTATTAAAGACAGCGCTGAAGGTCAACAAACAAGAACCACGGCTGAGCTTGACATAAGCCGGCCTTTATATTGCAAAAATACTGTTTGTTCATTGGCCGGAGGCGCGCAGTAATATCAGCTAACCGTTTGAAAATGCCAAAGAAACATGTGCAATTACAATGCAAAAATTTGTTGTGAATAATTATTATATCAAATATCATGTTTCTTTAGAAAATATAATATCGAGAGGAAGATTTCTCTCTCCCTAAAATAATTGACACAGCAAGATTTCCTTCATTCACTTATCTTTTTATCGTACAGAACCTTTCAGACAGAAAGCACACACCACTCATCCGAAGTAGAGACCCTATAGTAAGAGTCTGGCCATCAGAGGAATTCTGGCAAAATTCTTCGAGAGAGAAAGATATATATTTCCTAGAGACCCTCTAGGAAATCTTTGCTAGAATTTCTCTGATGGCCAGACTCTTACTCTATAGGGTCTCTAATCCGGACAACTTCAAGAAGATAACCACGGAAATTCGGCGGGAGTTTTCGAAACTTATTTTATCGCCAAGATTATTTATTTATTCTTACTGTTGGAGTGTATACAAAAACAGAAAGTAAAATATAAAATAAATATAAGTGTAAAATGTCAAGTACAAGTACAAGAAACGTACAAGTGTATCCAAGAAAATTCTCAACAATCGTTCACAACAATTTCAAGTCCACTCGTTACAATTATGGAAATGTACATCAATATCTTATAATCTCTTGGTCCATGATCTTACGTCACTTGTCACGTTTCTACAGTCACGGACAAGTACAGAGATCGCCTTTTTCCTTGAACTTACTGAATTATCGTAACATTTTCAATACCCGATTGCATATCTCGAAAAAGCGTAAACCACGCCGCATGATTGCGCATACTGGCTAGTAGGTTAGTCAGTTATAACTGATAACATTCACCATAACCTCGTAATCTCAAGCGCTAACTCGAGCGCGAATAAATTCGGACAAAGTGCGGAACGAAGAATCGTTGATAATTGTGGAGGAGATGGGTTTTGTTATCTCTCTCTGGTAGCGAATTTCATTGGAGACATTCCAATCGCGATAGATTGATACATATTTAATGTCTTTATTTCCTAAGATTTAATTTTTGTTTCTCCTTTAAGCACCACACACACTTTCGCATTGTGAATTCGTTGTCGTTGCGTTCACTTCAACGTGTGGCACTTGACAGACATGATTTGTCGTAAAACTTGCGCGATGCCACGGATTATTGCGTGTCACGCTAAGCTCGTAACGCGAAATGTTCACCACTTTTTTTCTAACCTCAGATCAAAATTTAGCGCCCTCACGTAAAACGACGTCGACATAGTGAGGGGTTGCGATATGCGACGACGTGTTACATCGCACGACGATTGACAAACGAAGTTGTATCGACGTTGAGAAAACGCACGTTAATCAGTTTTTTGCGCGGTGCATTCGCTGTATTAACGATGTCGCTGATTGCGTGATTTCACGATACATAATTCTTGTCACTCGATAGCATTCGCTTTCTCTTATAGCCTTTTTCAAAATGGCAGCGGCTACGGACGAGCTGAGTAAGTACTCCCAAAAAAAAACTCGATTTTGTCTCACGTAGGACGGCATCGCCGCAGCATTGGTGATCGGCTCGTAAATTACACATCGCGCTATCCGTTTATTTCGTCATGGTAGTCGTGCGTTGCGAAAATTTATATGTTCCGGACACTTTGCAAGGACGAGACGCAAAGTCAATTGTCATGCCGCCTGGCAACTTCAAACGTATTACTTTCAAGGGATCGCGTGTTTATTTCGGTTTCCTCGATGTTCTTTCACCGCTCCACTCGCCTCTCGATGCCGTCCTTAGCACGTGCTTACAACTGTCAAATCTCCGTATCGTGTACGTGTTCAATTAATATCGTTCCAATTTAATATCTGATACTGACGTTTTCATGATAACTTCATATATGATGATTTGATTACACTGTCATCATAAATATGCATCTGTGTAAAATTACACATGTGTATATATACACACACACACACACACATATATATATATATATGTATATATGTATAATTAATATATGTTATATATAATTATATATATTTTTCCCATAACTTCTTCATACATATAGCATAAAAGCTTTTACATGTTTTTGAGATTAAACTAGAGATATATTGTCAATCATTTATTCCTTTATCTGTATCTCATTTAGTTTTGCTTGAGCGAGTGTTCCTTCGCCTGGGTTCTGCGGAGACAGATGACCAGTTACAGGCATCGGTCTGTAAATTTTTACCTCCTGTGCTGCTTAAACTATCTAGTGCACAGGAGGGTGTCAGGAAGAAGGTGCTGGAGCTTTTGGTTCATATTAACAGGAGAGTGAAGAGCAGGCCCCAAGTACAGCTGCCTGTTGAGGCATTACTTTTGCAATATCAGGATCCAACTGCTAGTTCATTTATGATTGTATGTTGTCTGTGAATTACAACTTGCTGTAATCTAAGGCTGGAAAATCTTTTACAATGTATATTTATTGCAGAACTTCTATAATGTATAATTTATTGCAGAATTTTACAATAATATATATTAAGTTAGGATATCCTCGAATGGAAATGAGCAAGCAGGCAGAATTAGTTCCAAGTGTATTAAATGCTATCGAAGGGAAACCGTTATCTCATCAAGATAGGTTTGTATATTATATATTTTTTATCTTTATATTTTGGGTTTGGAATAAATTCAATGAAAAACTCAGTATTCAAAGTTTTGATATACTCTTTCTCTTTTTGCTATTACTATCCTACTACAATCTTAAAAACTGAATGATTTTTTACTTTTTAAGTAAATGAAGGTGCGTGACATATACATTAATGTAAAATATTGAATTATAATAAAATACTTATACGCTCATGTTTCAGCTTAATGTTGATCATAATGCCAGCATTGGGACATATTAATATACCAACAGATCTTGACAAACGAGCGTCTCTCTTAGGTTTGCAGGACAAACCTTATGTGGCAAAACAACTGATAAATTTTATGCTTGATATATTATTATTGCCATATGGGTGAGATATATTCAACATAATTGCTGTCATCTGTAATATTTGCTCAACTATTGATTGTAACGTATTGTCAGATCTGTGGGTCAAACGGAAAATCAACAGTCGGGTCAACAGACTATCGATTGGTCTCAATTTACTGTGCCACCTGGTTTGAGTGATTATGCATTCAAACGAGTAATCGGCGAAAGTCCACCAACAGCAGAACAACTCGAGCAAATAAAATTGGGCATTGTCAAATTCCTCGTCGGTGGATTCTTTCCTGATGCGGATATTTTGATACACTTAATTGTAGCAGCTGCCGATACTAGATTCAGCATAGCTAACATGGCAGATTTGGAACTGAAAAAGATAATTGGGTATATACAAAAGATCTTGGAAATATATAATTCTTGGATTAGTCATATCATGATTATTATAAGTCAATGCTATTGTATATGTTTAGCACATTGGATTGGTCTTCCATGCAACTCGCAGCTCCATTGTATACATTGTTTCTGGGCACTGATGCACTAGCAACTCAAAAAGAAGTGAAACCAGAAATGAAGCGACTTCCTGCTAGTACTCGAATTCGTCTCAAGCTCTTACAGTATCTGTGCCGTGTGACTAAAGCAGGTTTCATCATACCACCATGTATACAAGTGCGTCAGGCTAAAGAATATGCAAAATTTCTACAAGATAACATAATGAAATTGTAAATTTTTCAGGTTGTCTTCGATTCACTCTATGGAAAAAATACAAATGCTAAATTGAAATCATTGGCATTGCAATTCACGTCAAATATTGTCCAGCAGTAAGTTTTACAACTTATTTATAAAAAAAAAAAAAATATTTTATAATTATATAACATACAACTTTAACATACAACTTATTGACGTGATAAACTATATCTT